TATTTTTTTAAAAAAAAAAAAAAAAAAAAAAAAAAAAAATATATATATATATATATATATATATATATATATAGCTAACCTCTAGTAGAAAAAGGTCTGAGGGAGAAAAGCACTTATGTGTTAGAAGATGACTGTGAAAACATTATTGACCCTAAACACTTAAGCAGAGGTTTTTCAACTTTTTCACATTGATATTAGAAGACTTTTACCTAATTATAAAGCTGCAATACATTTCTCTTACAATGACAATCTGTATTCACAATGTTCTACATAGTTAGCATGCAGTGAACATTTTCTCATTGAATTGTCAAAGCAGCATAGCAGTTGAAGTTAAGCCATGAAGTCCGACAGACCTGAAACTTAGTAGATATATGACTTTAGATAAATTAATCTCTAAGTAAGTATTTTCTTCCTCTGGAAAATGAGAATAACAACAGTACCAATCTCATAAGAATGCATTAAGGATTAAATTAATGTCTGTGAAGCACTAAGCCTAGTACTCAGTACACAGTAAGCAAGCAGAGTAATATCCGCTCCATCCCCGCAGATGTCCACATCCTTAATACCAGAGCTTGTGACTATGTGATGTTACAGGGGCTAATTAAGGTTGTAGATGGGATTAAGTTAGCTAATCGGCAAGCCTTAAAATGGGAAGATTACCCTGGATTATGCAGTGGGCCCAATGTAATTGTAAATGAAAGAGGGAGGCAGAAGAGTGAGTGGCTTTGAAGGCAGAAGGGGCAATGAGCCAAGGAATGCAGGTAGTCTCTAGAAGCTGGAAAAGGCAAGGAAGCATTCTTCTCTACAGCCCCCATAGAGAACACAGCTCTGCTGACACCTTGATTTTAGCCCAGTGAGATCCATTTCAGACCTCCAGAACTGTGACATAAATTTGTGTTGTTTTAAGCCACTTAGTTTGTGGTAGTATGTTGCTGCAGTAGTAGAAAACCAATATACATAGTTAATTCATTAGCATGAATGCGTGCCAAATAATAATTTCCTCTTCAGTAAAAATATCTATTTTCAGAAAGCCCCCAAAATGTCAGTAATACAGATAACTGAAATAGTGATAATTAGTGCTATGGTTAATTAAATCAGTTTGTCTACATGATTTCACAAAATAATCTGAATTGAAAGAGATTCTATTTTTACCTTCAATAACTTACCCAAAAAATGAGTGTCCCAAATATGACTGTCATTATTCTGGTAAAAAAAATAATAATATGGTAAAATGAAGCATCAATCACACTGTTAAATAATATAACAAGAAAATGTTATTCTTGGGAACACTGTGAAAAACAGCATGTTCTAAGTTTATCTACATGAGAACCAATCACTGTATAGAGCTTGATAAAAAGTCAAAATTTATCAATTATGCTTCCTATCGATATTAATATTTTTTACTGAATAAAGAACTAATTTTTAAAACTCCACAAAACATGGTTCATAACAAATAAGCTTGTAAATGGCCAGAAAATTAGTGAACATATTTGAATGAATGGGATCTTAGTAAATGTGTTTTCAGTGTAAGATGCCAAGTTTATGGTTTAGACAGTGACCATCACAAAATGAAATGTATAGCCAAGGAATAGTTTATACCTGGAGGTGCAGAAATTTAGAACTCTGATTTTTAAAAATTTTATCCTTTAAATATTTTTCTTCTCTATGTTTTATAATGTGTATAATAGATCAGCATAATAGTATATTTATAATTTACAAATAATCAAAATTTGGAGTATATTCTTAAATTTTTTATGATGGGCGTTACATGATCAAAAAGTTTAGAATATCACTAACTAGAACCACCAAGATACCACCTCTGTCACAGCCTTATGCTTGATTCTGGTCTAAACATGGTTTAAGCAAAAATTCTCAAACTACTACTGAATGCAAGTTTGCCATCAACCTCTTAAACAGGTTAACCACACATAGTGTGTCAAATGTTTCAAAGTAGCATTTATTTTTTAAAAGCACATTATGAGGTAGACTTACACCAAAATTTTTAGTGTATATATAATGTAAAGGTTTATTAAAACCTTAAAATTCCATGTACGTGTATGTATATAGATAAACTCATCACCTACAAATCTACCTTCATCCATTTGAAAGACTCAAAACAATTCAACTGAAAAGGTGAAAAGTCAATTACATTTTTAGAAAACTTTTCTAATCCTGAAATAAAGGACATCTAATCTGTCAAAAAAATTGTGGGAAGGAAATGTTTTGTTTTAAATTTAGATTTTAGAAGGTATTTTACTAAATCATGCACTTTGTAGCTAGTTTTCAATGAATGTGAATATCCACTAGACAGTAGGTGAAAGATACTATAACTCATTATTTTGTTTCCATCATGTCAAAATGATAACATCTAAGCAGGACCAGCTATATAATTTGTGAGCCCAGTGCAAAAGAAAAATGCAGGCCCTTTGTTCAAAAAATTAAGAATTTTAAGATGGTTACAGCGCAGCATTAAACCAAGCACAGCGCCTTTCTAAGTGTGGGGCCCTATATAACTGTACAAGTCCAATACCCATAAAGCCAGCCCTGAATCTAAGTCTATTTCAACTGCAGCTATGGAATACCAAGACTTTAGTTATTTTTGTCCCTTTAGTCCCCAGTACTAGCCTAGGCATATAACAGGACTCAAATGTTTGTTGAATGAAAAATTGAGTCTTACAGTTTTCCAAATCAATGAGAAATGTTTACTTATTGTCAGAACAAATCTTACCCTGAGGAATATAGTCTGTTAATTATAACAGTAAATGATAGAATCCTCTAGTACTGAATAATTTGCACACTGCATTCTGGCTTCATGGGAGCTTGAGGCCACATATGGGAAAGGTTCATTTGATTCACTCAACAAATATTTATTGAACTACTCTGTGTCAGGTCCTATGCCAGGCACTCGGGATACAATAAATAAGACAGTACCTGCCCTCAAGGAGCTTACAGTCTAGCATAACAACTTACAGCACCTCACAACCTACTGAGAAAACTTTCGGGGTATCTAGTATATTATTTAGAACACTCCAAATTTCCTGAAAATGTGACTCTAAATTTTACCAGAAAGCACAGTCTGGAAATGAAAGATACAGTGAAATTTAAAAGAAAATTCAAATATTCACCCTTTAATCTAAAAACCAAGAAATGTAAATGAGGAAGAAACTTAGGAAAGCTGAAAATTCTGCCTATTTTAAAGACTTTGGGCCAGATTTAAATTTTAAAAATTTATTATCTCCAGGTGGTATTTTCATTTATAGTGACATTTATATACATATGAGAGGTTTATATATATGAGATGTGTTCTTTGGGGCTTTTGATAAAACCCATATCTCTATCACATTTACAGCATAAAGGTAAATTTGAGACTTTCCTTTTGATAATAATTATCATTTGAATGGGAAAAATTCTTAAGACATCATTTAGAATCATCTCTAGAATATAAATTTTAGTACAATCTTATTCTCTAATGAGCCTAACCTGTCTTTGTACAACATGTGATAATTCAAGTATATATTTTAATGGTTATTGACAAAGTTTAATGGCATCAAATACTCTTGAGTCTATCTAGATTTTATTTTCATTGTTTTTTTTTATTTCCTGCAGTCTTCTGGTTTTTTTCTATGTAATCAAGACAGCAATAATGGACTGCTTTTTTCTTGAAAGCATGAAAGACTCCTGTACAAACACAGAGATTTTGTTGTTGCTTTGCTGTACTTTGTTACATTGCTGTTTATTTTTTAATCTAGCAGCATCCTTAGTTCATAGTATCTTACTTAGTTGCAACTGAAAAAATCACTAGCCCAGGCTTTAATTGGGAGCTTCTATTATCCAGAAGGTTATTGTGAAGCCGTCAGAAAAGCAGAAAGCAACCAAAAGAGCTGCCTCTAAGACTGTGTACACAGAGTTTGTCCAGCTCTTACTTTAGATACTCTGAACAGGCTTGGTTATCACATGCCCCAGCTCATAACAGATAAACACAGCACATTAAAGAAAGTGGGTGGGGAAAAAAAGAAAGCAGGGAACCTGACAGAACCAGGCATACTGACAGTATGGGAAGAGATGGAACAAACTACTTGGCAAAAAAAAAAGCAATCTGAGGTAAATGATTATATATACCTCAGGGCTGAGAAAATCTCCCTATAATAGACATTAATAACTCATATTTGTTATAGCCCTTTACTTTTGATGAAGTATTTTATATACATCAGAGCTTTTATATACATCAGAATCCACTAGATATTTGTAATAATGTAACATTATGAATATAACTTTTAACTTTTCATCACGAAAAAGTGAATTCCACTGAGCATGCTGTTTAAGGCGGCAGGGAGGTATACTAACATACCTAAAAGACTTGCATCAAAAATAATTACAAGTTTTAAATTTTGGCACTTAAGAGATACACATTAGTTATCCAAAAATTCATACATATGGTTTCCTTCATGACCAACACAAAGTATTACTGAGTGAATTTTCACAGCATTCAGTGACTGCTGGTCATTAAACAGGGATGATTGTCACCAGTAAATTATCAGACTATTTCTCCTGCTAAACGCAAGTTTAACAGATATTTAAGGATGCCAGTACCATATATTCTGACAAATATGGGAAACACTAGGCTTCTAAAAGATTCTCAGTATCTTCCCTATATTGCACTTTCTAGAGAACACAACTTTTACAGTGATGTAATGTGATCTTAGTTCTAGACATATGAGCGGGAAACGTTACTTCCCTGCTTGTTTTCCTAAAATTTTTGGCATAGCCTCTTCTCAGGGATGTAACAAGAAGAAATAACTAAATATGCATGTGTTTTGGGTTTCTGAGAAAAAAGACCACAGACATTTAAAAAAGACTAAAATAGAGGTCTCTTCTGCTTTAGCCACTTCATTTTCAAAATTGAAAATAAAGAAGTACTGTATATTTGATGTTCCTAACTCTTTCAACATAGCATTGCTGTAAACATTCTGTTCTGCAGAAAGCTTTTTAAAACAGGAGAACAATTTATACTACATTTACCAACAACTACACTACATTACCAATTATAATACATTTAACCAATTAACATGAATAAAAACAACTGAATAAAATTTAGAGAAAAAACCCATCAGATTAGATTTTATACTGTAAGTGAAATGGGACCTTGAAATGGTAATATGTAATTTCCTCCAATAGAATAGCATTCCTGATTCCCTTTAATTCCTTGATTAATATTCCCTGATGACTATTTGATCATAACCATACCTCAAGGAGAACAAAATTGTTGAATTTGCTGGCTGTTAATTTTTAATTCTCATCTACATGGCTCTATTTTCATACAAGGATATTTATCCTCCATTGTTCTTTTCTATTTTATAGTTGCTTAACCTGCTTGAGGTTTTTTAGTTAGGAATGGACTTCATATATGCCCTGAGTTTATGATATTAATTCTCACGTAAATTATCAATCTTGTAAATGTTCTTTTACACGGTACAGAAAGTAAGCCAGCTTCGTAATAAAAAAACTTCAGAAGATACTAAACAAATTAACAGGCTAGTTTGCCATCCTTTACAAACTAAAGGGCAAAACGGTAGAGTAGTAAGCAGAGACTTTGGACTAAAATAAACAAAAAAACAAACTTGGGTTTGAATTCTAGTGCTGCCACCCACTGCCAACTCTGTAACTTAAGGCATGTCACTTAATCTTTCTGACCCATCATTACCTCCAAAGTAAATTGGGGCTCATTCCACCTACCTTGGAAGGTTTTTGTGAGGGTTAGTAGTAAAGCACATACATTATTTGACATATAATAGGTACTCTATGGTAGTTAAAGAATTGTTGGCTAAATTTAGAGTTGGGCAACATGTGGGCCCGGCATCTGATCTGGAACTCTTTCCAAAGTTGACAGAATTTACAAAATCTTCCTTTGAATATCAGTATGGTCATTATATTTGGTAGCTTACTTATTTTTTATTGTACATATTTAACCTTATTTTTAATGATAACATTGTTTGGGTGTTTTTACCTCCAAAACTATATTTTCTTTTAAATATATATTTTTTGCAAAGTTCACAGCAAGCCTATATATTCACTGTGCTTTGTTAAATTTTTCAATGACTAGAAAGCTTTCAATTTTTTAACATCCATAGTAAAATGATCTAATTTTAAAATTTGTCCTGGAGCCAAACACTGTTCCAATTAGGATATAACCTTGTATATGTGTGTGAATGGCTGTTCAGTAGGTCCTACAAAGAAATGTCTATTTTATTCATGTATTTAAACATTTCTGTAAGATTTAAAATACTTTTCTTACGGCTGGAATTCTCAGCATCTACTCCTATGCTTTCCTTTTTCAGTCTATTGGCTAGTTTAAGGGTATTCACAATAATACAACTTAAAGACAAAGTTTTCATAAGTTATTGTTTTTAAGAGTCACCATAATACAGTAGAAATTGTCCTGAGCAAAGAATTAGGAGACTGGTTCTGCCACTTTGTTTGCAGCATGACCTTAGGCAAATCACTTAACTTCCCTCATTTGTCAAATAATGCAACTGATTCCACTCCAAGTTATTTTCTACCTTTAAAATTGTTCACTTAATATTATTATTTTTAAATAATCAAAACACTTTCTGGGAATTTTGTTAAGCACCAGATGGTTATAGAAGTACTTACTGCTGTTTAAGGTTGTGTTTTTCAAACTATGATCCAGAGACCACCTCAATAACGGGTTCCTGTTAAAAATACATATTCTTGTCTTCTCCCTGGCTGAATCAGAATTTCCTAGGGTGAGGCCCAGGTTTCTACATTTTTCACAAGCTCCTCAATGATTATAATGCACCCTAATGTTTGAGAATCACTGGCCTAAAGAGGATGGACGTAAGAGGGGAGGACTAGCACATGGCTTAAATTACTCCAGCCTTTGGCAAACCCCTTCTAAACACAATTCCATTCAATGTGGAGGAGACTGGAAGAAACATGCTTATTCAACAGAGCAGTTGCCTTGTACTTGACCCCAGCTTGATGCTTTTAATCTGCTGTGTTCCATAACAAAACACAAAAAAAGGTCTTCTTATCAACATTTAGTCTTGATATCTAAGTCACTGACTACCACAATTATGACAACAGCTTGAAGAGGACTGCAGTTCTTCCCTCACTAATGGTTAAGAAAGTTCAGCTTGTGACACCTGGCTTAAGGAAGAAAGATGAGTAAAACACCACCCCTTTACTCTATTCCCCCTCGATCGCAATACTGTTAACACATCAGCCTGTGTGATTCAAATAATCTGGTAGAGAAAACACAGATCTAAGTCACATTGTTCTCATCATTCTGTGGCCAGACATTGTACTAATCTAATAAATAAATCCTTTTCTGTACAATAGAAATGACCAAAGTCTATTCCATCTCCTCCTTTTCTTTCTAATGCTATTGATAGAAACAAAATACCAAGTAAGGACACATGCTACAGATTTTGAATTCATACAAGTAAAGTAAATTACAAAGAGAGAAGGTAATATTTTTTCTAGAATTTCACAACAAAATCCCTCTCATCATGAAAAAAAATCTGTATAATTTTAACAGGAAATTTAAGACATTTTGTTGCAAGACTATCTAACAGTTACGAGAATAATACCATTATTTGTGCTCAATATAGAGAAATGTTAACAGCAACTTTAAAAGGCCAAGTATACTGATAAGTAAAGATGAAATTTCTTTTTCAATAACCAGTATGCCAACATCATACTTCTGGATTTTATTCAATACTAATGTCACGGGTCTCTCTATCTCAACCAAAACTCCTGCTATATGTCCACAAAATTCATACCAAAATCAAAAAACAAAAAGGGAGGAAGGGAGGAGAGAGAAAAGAATGGAGGAAGAGAGGAAGGAAGGGAGGAAGGAACTTGATAAGAGCTACCATGCAAAATAACCAGAAAACCTGGAGTTCAGTGGCACAGGTCAGCAGGAGCAGAGGAATGCTGAGAAGGATGACGCTGCATAGAGTCTAACTTGGAGATGTCTGTATGATGCTGGATGACCAAGTACTCAGGTCACAGGTGTGTTCACGGACCAATAAGAACCAGAATCTTGACCCAAACTTATAAGATCTTCTAAAAAGCAAATACTTCACTTAAATTGAAGTAGTTTATAGTCAAACACCAGAATTGTTCCTTATTTGATATAAGTTGTGCCTAAAACTTTGGCTGATACAAAGAAACCCGTCCACTAAGGCACCCTGAGGCAATCTGACAATGTGTTGGAGAGAACTTTGTTGTCAGTACCACATCATTATGAGAGTACAGAGAACGGATCACCCGCAGGGGACTGGCTTCTTTGGGCAAACAGTCAACAAGTTCACTGCACTGTTTGTCAAATCCCAACAAGCGAATCCCGTAGCCATGTGGGGAAGAAATCATTCGCCCATCAGGGCTGAAACAAAGTTCTTTGATATAACCCCTGCCTACATTGGCTTCTTCAATGTAATGAGTCAGTCGTAGAGAACAGCGAGGTGAGACAGGTCGCACTGGAGCTCCTTCTTGGAATTCGTAGACACAAGTCCACTAGGGAGAGAGAAGGGAGACAAAACTAAGGTTACAGGGTCCCAAATAGTGCTATTTTTTAAAGCTCAACACATTGCCAAAGCCAAAGAATTACTGCAAGAAATCAATCAGATAAATACTACACCCTCCCAACTAACAAAACTTGTAGGCCCCATCCCTCTTTTTATTGTCATAAACTGAGTTTATTCTGTGCTATGATGCTTTGAAGCCTTTTGTTCCCTGGGGCTGCCTGTGACTTCTGTAGTAATACATTTTTTTTTTTTTTTTTTTTTTCCCCTTTTTGGCAACTGGCTGGTATGGAGATCTGAACATTTCACTTTGGTGTTATCAGCAGCACACTCTCCCAAATGAGCTAACTGGCCAGTCAACTTTTCTGAGGGCAACAACAATCATGATATTTTAAAAACCTGGGGGTACATCCAAGCCCTAGAGTACCTCTTCCCCTACACACTTCAAAGGCTCTTCTTTCCTTCTTTCAGTTGTGGCCTCTAGAGCCAGTGAGATCCTTGGAAGACTCTTGCTTTCCAGAGTGATGAATTATAAGGTCATTTAAGACCTTTTCCCCTTGTCATCAGCTTAGTCCCTTCCTTTCCCAGAGTTTCCCCTAGTTTTTAAAAAGAGAAAAGTATATTACTCAATTGGCTTAGCAAAACCTCACATTTAGGCAGCTTAGCTGAAACATCAAAGTCCTACATTTACAATATGAGGGTATGTCAAAAAGTTCATGGAAAGATTAGTATTATCTTTCAATTCTATTTTTCACAAACTTTTTGAGGTACTCTCATATGAGGGTTTTTTTTAGGGTGAGATGAAAGAGGCAAGAAATAAGAAGCTGGGCACAATCTGAGCTGATGATGGATTTTATAATTCTCAGCTTGCTACACCCAGGCAGGAGAGAAGGAAGAGTTTGCAAGGAATAAAGTACCATTTAGCACTAGAGGACAGAAACAGGAGAGTTGAGAAGCAAGATCTCTGATAGTGTGCCCTTGCGAGCAGGGATTGTGTCCAGTGATCAGGCTAAGTAACACATGGCAATGGCAATTTATCCAATGAACCCTGTTGAAGGTAGAGCACTGTTGCCTGTACCTCCTGATCATCAGTGTTGCTTGAGCACCGCAGAAGAGTGGCCCAGCCTTTTGGGTGCAGCTGTAGGGATGTGATGCAGTTTCCACGGTCTCTCTCACCAGGAACTTCAGGAGTTAAGACTTCAAGACTATTTCGTGGTGACACTCCTGAGACACAACAAAATGAGGATGTGGGATTTGTATTATCAAAGGACTAAGGCAGTTCTTCAAAGCTTTGATTTCTGGCAGTTATCTCCCATGCCTTCATTCCTTAGTCTGCCCCTTATGCTACCACATGTAAAAGAACATGGTACCAGCCAGTGTATGATGTGTGAGTTTTTGAGGTGGGGCCATGGGGAAAGGGTATAACTAGAACTAAATAATCTAAGTTCCTGCAGCAGGAACCACCAGTGACCTAAGGCTGAAGCACAAAAGCTGACTAGGGATCATTTTGATTTGGATCTATATCTCAGAAAGCTCTTTAAGTTAAAATCAAAGTTATATGACATGGAAGGAATCTAGAAAAGTAAAAGATAAGAACTCTCATCTCAGAGGACCTGGTGCTCTCTAGTCCAGAGAAGGATTTACTTGGAAGCCATGAGGATTGTCTTTATATAAATAAAAGGATCAGGACTTATGGCCCCTGACAGTACTATAAACAACAAATAGACCTATAACTTTGGAGGTAAGGGAGGACACCTCACATAAAGGTATGTCAAAACATGGTCTGGGAGACATTGCCAATTATATATCTTCCTTGTGACTCTACTACACCCCATTATTTCCTTCTACCTAGTTCCCAATAGAGATGACTGCTGTTGTAAGCCACTCTTACTACAGTATATGTCATACACTTCAGGTGTGTGGAGAAGCACTTGTAGACATTGTAAGGAAGCAGCTCAGAAATTTAATATGAAGAGAAATATTTCAACACTTTTCTGCCTATGGAAGGAGCTACTTTGAAGGTAATGAGCTCCCTGTCAGACCCTTTGTGAGCTGTTTCTCAATAAGGTGTGTTATCTTCTTTTTACAGAAGATATCTTCTTTAACGTATCTTCCCTTAGATTACTACACCACTGCAGTAGTAATCTAAAAACCCGTGAAGCTCTAAATTACACTATTACAGCCAAACTATACCTAAATAATTTCACATGTGATCAAACTTAAACAACTTTAGAAAAAAACTCCCTATCTTAAGAATTAATTTTGAAACCAATGTTTCAATTAAAAAATAAATTCCTTAAAAAAAGAATTAATTTTGAAAATCTGTAACAAAAGCAGAAAAGAAACCTACTATAAATAGGTAAGCAGTGGTTTGCTAAGTTGTGCATCTTGGAGGTTCCTCAGAAGCTGGCAAAATGTGGGTACCATGTGGGAGCCAAGATGGAGATGGGATAGAGAAGACTGGTGGGTCAATGGTTCCCCTAATTTCACTTGCACCAGAGCTACCTCGATTTTATTTCTATGGCATCCCTAAAAATCCACAGCCAATTTCAAGTGAAATGAGTTTGAAAGTCTCCACTCTGCACAGCTAATATATCTGCCAAAGAATGGTGCTAACATACTCTGACACCTGAAGACCCAGGATTTCCAACATTCAGACCAACTTTACCTATAAGCCTCACCTTCTCCCATCTTTTTCCTCTCTTTCCACCCTCTAATTTTCTTCTGCTTCCTTCCCAGACTCCTTATATATATCATCTCTTCTCTCATTCCCAACTCTGTATAGCATAAAACTGCTTTATACTTGCATTTACAACACTGGTCAATAGCAAACAAGCATGTTAACTATTTTTTTCTTCTTAAATTAAGTTTCTTTTTCTTGTGGATGGTATAGCCAATCAACAAAGATTTTTCTCAATGATTATTAGGAGTCCTAGCTTGTTTTCTATAGCCCAAGTAGAAGGAAAAGAACAGGTAAAAAATCTTTAAAAGATGTTTCTGCCACAAATCAAAGGAGGCATGTTATGCACTTCTGGCATAATTCAGTAAATTTAAGGGGAGGAGTTTTTAATCTTAAAGTGAAACATCACAGTCTTCAATATCTAGAGGAAAGTGGATAGGCTATTGGCTAGGTTAGAAAGGGCTCTCAAATCATCCTACTGACATAAGTAGTCATGCAAGATAATCAGCATCTACCAGGTAAAGCCACCTAGAGAAAACACAAATATTAGAAGTCCAAGATTTGTTCCTGTCCTAAATATTGAGGTAGCGACATGCCTATCTCTAAAAGGTGTCCCAAAATGACAAAAAAAAAAAAAAAACCAAACAAAACAAAGCCATATATCTGGCCATTGATACTCAGTCCACAAAGAAGAGGATAAACAATAAATGTTGTTGAGAGCTGAGATGCAGACTAGTATGGAGAGGGCTGGTAGGTAGAAATTTTACAGATAGAAAGCATTTCAATCGGGGGTGGCCTGGCTTCAGTATGGCCTGCGCTGCTCTCCCTAGTCAAGCTGCAGGCCAGATGCGGGTATTTCTTTCCGGAGCCTGCAATCTACATCACAGAAGGGAATGTTGGAATCCTGAGAGAGAGAGGTGTTAAAGGCAGCTGCTCTGTGGCCACTCACGTGGGTTGAAGCCTTGCTCAGCTAGTTTTCCCATCTAATATGAAGAAAATTCCTTTCTTGCAGGGTTCTTGTGGAAACAGAACATTATGAGCTCCCCTTTTCTTTAACTTAACTGTGGTTGAAAATAACCAGAGTCAGAGGTCACAAAATCTCACTTTACTAATCAACGGTGAGAGCCTGTTGACCCAGGCTGAGAACCCTAAGCTCTGAATCACCTGTTACATCTTGTCAGATTTTTCCAAAAATGACTTTACCTCAAAAAAAAAAAAAAGTTAAAGTTTATTCTGTAACTTAGAAAGTTGAGACTTCCAATCAATATGGCAGAATAGACGGTCTTCAGCGTCACTCTCTCCCACAAATCAACTAATTTACAACTATTAAAAATCAACACAGCCAAGCTGGGGCCACTAGAGCTCATGGGAAGAGGAGGCGAGACCAATGGAGTGCATGAAGGCCAGAGAAGCCACGATGAGAGAAAGAAAAAACTGCTCTGACCTTTTCGAGCCCCAACCACTTCCAGGCTGGAGCTGCTGAGTGCATGGAACCAGAGCCAGCAAAAGCCACCGCTGTGTCCTTCAGATGAAGTTGCATGGAGGTGGCAGGGAAGAAGATGGCTTTGGTGGCCCCCAGGCTAGCAAGACCACTAATAGGGTTCCCATGAACCCACGCAGGACCAAAGAGCCACAACAAATGACAAAAAGGAGCCACTCAGAGGCCAGTGAGTCATTGCAAGGGACCGGCATACAGCCCATCCCATAGGAAGTGTTTGGAGCACGGGCAGTGGGGGAGATGGGCCCACCAGGAGAACACCGTCACACAGCAAGGACAGCTAATCTGAACCCCCATCAGCATAGGACCACTCAGAGGAGATTGGTCAGAAATATAGAATTGCATGGGGTGCAGTTTGTTGAAAAGACTCAGGCCCAGACCAGTGTTTCTACGTAACCCAGATGCACTGGATTTCACTAAACCTGGAAGTCCTATAAAATCAACCATTAAAATTGGAGCTGCACAAAAAGCCCTCCCCAGGGAATCAACAGCAAAGCAACAATTTAGCTCAACCATACAGCTCAAGTACTGATCCCCACAGGAAGTTCCCCACTTTAGAAGTAAGCAAAGGACAACAAATTAGTTCCAGCACAGAGTTTAAGTGGTGGGAATAGCAAATAATCCAACGCAGAACTGAAAGAAAAAAACAGAGTACCCACAACCAGAGACAAAGTTTGATATTAACTAGTAAAGGTCTCATTTCACCAAAGAACACCTATAACACCTAGAAGGACTGGAAGTCCCCTGGGATACCAAGCCAGAAAGTGGGGACAACCAGGCACACCAACAGTGCCACGGGGCCCACCTGGGGTCCTGAGTTATAGAACCAGGGACCGGACCCTTTGCCCACAACCAGGCATACCACCAGTGCCACAGGGCCTGCCTGGGGTCCTGAGGCATGGATGCAGGGACTGGACTCCCTCCCACAACCAGGGACACCACCATCACCACCAACAACTAGGTAAGGAGCATGCCAAAAACATCACCTCCATGCAGGTGGCCCACCACAGCTACCATAATAACCATAGCTGCTGCGAAAGCAGCTAGACGCCACAACCACTGTGCAGATGGTCCACCAGCCACTGGAGTACATTGACACAAGGAGAGTCACCAGCAGAAACCAAAGAAAAGAAGAGGATGTATCTCTCCACAAAGCTCATTCCAGAGTGACAGAAGAAGCATCTGCTCTATGATAATATTGGGGGACCTGAACACACCTCTCAGTATTGGGCAGATCATTCTAGGCAACAAATCAACAGAGTAACCATTACTCTTTCAGAAGGAGAGAAGAAATCTAGGGTAATTAGAGTGAGAGGGTGGGGGGAGAGGGAGGAGGGAGAGGGAGGAGGGAAAGGGGGATGGGAAGAGACTGGAAAAGGGGCATGAAGAATAAGTATGATTTGGGCCGACCCCGTGGTGCACTCGGGAGAGTGCGGCGCTGGTAGCGCAGCGACACTCCCGCCATGGGTTCAGATCCTATATAGGAATGGCCGGTGCGCTCACTGGCTGAGCGCAGTGCGGGCAACACCACACCAAGGGTTGCAATCCCCTTGCCAGTCATGAAAAAGACAAAAAAAAAAAAAAAAAAAAGAATAAGTATGATTTGTAACAATATATATGCTAATAATATTGATTTGATCAACATATGTCAATACTGAACCCCAAAAATATGCATAATCAATTATGATTCAATTTAAAAAAAAAAATCAGGGGTAAAAGGGATAGGCAGAGCAACCAGTTCTGCCAGAATGGTGGGGGGAAAAATGGCAAATACAGAGTGGGGCCAGGTTGTAGCTCACTTTATCCCATAATCCCTCCGAGACTGTCAGGCATTGCACAGATAAGGAAATGGCACAGCAAAATCCAACTGGGCCAGAACCAGGTAACTTTCACAATCACCTGATAAATTCATCCCTTATATTTATACAGCACTTTCACATGCATAATCTCATTTACTTTTCACAACAATCTTGATTGGAATCTACATTTCCCCACTACACTTCCCTACTACTTCCTCTTCAAACTACACCAAACTAAGTCCAGGTAACAATAACCAAAGCTCAACTTCCATCAAAGATTTAAGCCCAAGATATTCAACCCCAGAGACTCTGGTTAGCTTTTTGAAAATGATGACTAAAGGGTAAGAAATTCTCATCTCGATTTGCTTTTATTTTTATGAGTTCAAACCAAACCAAAGAAAGCTATTTGGTGGAATCTTTTAACCTACCTTCTCTTTGAGAGGCTCGTGACATGAGCTTCTCAGAAGATGAATTAGAATCACTATGATGACAAGGTGAACCAGAAACTCTAGGACCGGATGAACTGGACGAAGTGGTCAAATCTTGAAAAAACAAAAAGTTCTGACAATAAATCTAGCATAATTCTAGTAATGTCTCTTAACTTTTTAAATATCCACTTGAACCATACTTTTAAAATCCATCTGAAACACGGCAAAAAATGCTCACATAAAACTGGCCTATAACTATAAGACTGAGGAAGGCAGGATGGCTCTTTGAAAGATGGCTTTTAAGGCCTAATCCTTTTCTAAAATCTTTTATATCAAAGACTTGCTTACATGAAATAAAAATGGAAAACCAAATAAAGAAAGGAGCATCTTTGGTTCCCCATCATTTCTGCACTGAAACAGAACAAAAAATTCAATGAAAATGAAAAACTGAGCTATTTAGCCTGTTGTGTAATGTTAGAATAGTGTCCGAAAAACAGGTCCACCACTTGAATACAAACAAATCCTTCTTTAAAGCATAACAAAAACTTCTATTATCATTTTTGAAATTATGTGAATACTGTCTTTGAAACGCAGTACAAAGCCTTAAATTGAAATCTGTGGAAAAAGCCAAATAAATATCAGAGAGTTGAGTTTGATATATTACTCCAAATAGCAATTTCTATTTCAGCACACTTTTTAAAAATTAAAATAAAAATTAATATTTATTTATATAATTTATTATCTGTACAACCATAATAAAAGTTACCATTTTAGTTTTGCTAATAGGAATAACTTTTAACAAAGGTGATTTAAGTTAAATAGCTATGATTTCCTTGCACTTTTTCATTATTATTTTAAATATATCTTGACATTTGTTTTCAAGGCAAAAAAAGAAAGCTGAATCAGTAAAATGAATTTCATGATAAACACAAATGAGAAAATCTGAGATCACTATAATCCCAAAATTCTTTTATAGAGGAAACAGTCTGGGAAATATTGTAAAAAATTAATTTAAGTATTACTTGATTTATGAAAGGTTTATGTAAACATAAATTTAACTCATTTAAAAAAAGACAAAAATGAACATTCTATAACTCCTCCAAAAAGACTTATTCAAGTACAAGTTTAAAATAAAAATAAAAAGGAAAATAATTTTTAGATAGAAAAGTTCACAAAAAGAGACACTTATCATCAAATGTAATCTTCCCCCCTGAAACACAGCAATTTTAGATTGCTGTTCTTTATGCCTCCTGCTTGCTTTCCATGAAGGGTGCACTTTTATTAAACTGATTCATGATGAGGTGAATTGCAGAAAGTCTGGGGTTTTGTTTTTTGGACCTGTTCCCTGTAATCTCTTCTTGAGCTTTTAGATCCTGATAAAGAGTGGAAAAACACTTATTCTAACTTGGCTTGTTTTTGTCATTTCTTATATCCCAATGGATTTCATGTGTATCTTCCTTGGGTAATACTTTTTGGAGGGGTTTTTGTTCCTTAACTGAAGAATGGCAGCTACTTTCCTTCTTTTGTGTCTGTCTGACTTTCCCAATGAAGAAGTCACACGATCACTATTCTCAGACATGGAAGACATTTGCACCTTTTAGCACATCTACTTTTTTCTTCAGAAGAGGGTATATTGCTAGACTATAAAACCTTTCTTCTGTATTATCATCAAAATATTCCTTCTCCTCTTCATGTAATTCTACTTCACCATCACTGTTACCACCAAGGGAGCTATCAGACCCTTTCCTCTTTTTGGTTTAATGTTCTGATTTTTGGTTCAGCAGGTGTCTTTTGGGGTTCAAGAAGAACTACAAAATCCTTTCCCAAAGGCTTTTATGGAGAATTTGGAATGTGTACTGCTTTGGGTTTATGTTTCATCTTGGCCAATTTTTTTCTTTGGATTATTTATTGGTTTCTTACCAGTATTTTGGCTTCTTTCACTTTTTGATCACTACTAAATTTCCTTCATGCTGTAAGTTACCTGCATATCATTTGAATACCAGGGATGTTTAGAATGATTTTCTTCTGAGTATTCTTTGATGACTCAACTTCAGCAACATTTTTTCTTGCATCTTCAGAGGCTTGAACGGCACCTTTTAGCATATCTACTTTTTTCTTCAGAAGAGGGTGTATTGCTAGACTGGCAATTGCTCTTTCAGTTGCAGGGCACCTTTTAGCATATCTACTTTTTTCTTCAGAAGAGGGTGTATTGCTAGACTGGCAATTGTTCTTTCAGTTGCAATAGAATCTGGCTTTTTGCAGATTTTTTCAAAGTTGATGTCATCAGCAATAGATTTAGTTACTACATCAGGTTTCAATTCCTTCGTGGCATTAATTTCTTCAAGCAGTTGTTGCACCCATCTTTGTTTATTTTTGTTTGTTTATTTTTTTGGTGGCTGGCTGGTACGGGGATCTGAATCCTTGACCCTGACTTGGAGTTACACCACCTCACTCTAACCAACTGAGCTAACTGGTCAACCCTTCCCTTCTTTTCTCATCTTCACAACCTTGTTATTGAGGTTCAGAGTTCCCAGATGAGCCACAATAGGCTGAAGGAGAGGATCCACTGCTGCCTGCACATGAACTCTGTCTGCCCATCACACTTTTCTAGTGACCCCACACTTCTGTTGGAATTCTTATTAAACTAATTTCCTGTGATGATATATTTAGTATCAGAATTACCCTTAGAAAACTAAAAACCTTCTTGGTTTTTGAGTCAAAAAAGGCCAACAAAACCTTGTTTTTGTTTTGTTTTTCATTTCTTGTTATTTTTTGTTTCAACTAGACTTTCACTATTTCTCTATTAACACTATTTCTCACTAAGCTAAAGACAATTATCAATGTTTCACTTAAAGGCAATTCTGAATCTAAAAGGACAATTTCACATACTTATGAAATCCATTGCTTTCAATTACGTTGGTGAAACTTAAATTTCTACTTTTAGAAGTTGGGCAACTGCAATACAATTATGCCTATTCTTTCCCAAAGATCTTTAGACGTGGCCCTGTGCGTACAGGAGAAACATTCCAACCATTTTTTTTTTGGCTCATAATCAAAACTTTATTGAAAAACTGACACCAAAATAGATCACTGTTGTATACCTTAGAAAATCAAACATAGAGTAACTAGAATTACTGAACTTATGATAAGGTTTTTCTGAGATAACACAAATTCAGGAAGTTATGTGGGTCATAAGAGTTGGCTTTCTTCTAAGTTAGCACTCTTCTGTGAGTCTGGCCTCTTCTCCAGTAGGCTGGCACAACACTGTTGAACAACCTACACAAAGAACGACTATCTAAGCGTGGCTGAAAACTGTGGTAATCTTGTAGCAACCTTGACGTTTTACACACATGAAATAATAATTTGGACTTTTATGTTTTTTTCTTTTCCTCTTTCAAGGATGGATGCAGTAAATCTCTAGCCAAAGGCATGCTGATCCTTTCACAAGTCCAGCCTGTCCAGACTTCTCAGGCAACACCCCTAGAGAGCAGCCCATTCTAACCATTTGAAGCTATATTTCATAGTAATTTATGAACATTCTGTGTTCCAAATGCTTAAGTCTTTTTTTCTGGGTTCTTGTTCATAAACACAATATTATAAATGACAGTTATGTTCCCAGACCAGTCCTCTCTTTACCAAAGGTAGATGAAATATGGTCTCTTTATCACACGTTGATAAAATATAGTACTTAAGTTTTTCTGAGCCCCAAGGTCACTTAACTCTAATGGAATCAGCAATGGGAAATGGGACAGGACTTTATCAAGGAGTGTTTAGGGAGACATGAGATAAGACAGCACCAGCTACCTATGCCTGCACATCTGGAAGTGTAGGATACAATACAGACTTAAAATTAAAACTCCGTATTGACCATAACTTAAAAGCTCTGCTGGATTCCAGAAGGACTTAAGAAGATTGATACTACCCTGAACCACCACTAACTTTTGAGATAATAATGATTCAGAAGTACTGATGAAAGATTCTCTGGCTAGCAGAAAGCTAAAAGAAAATATTTTTAGAGTTAGCAGTTATTCTTCCTAGATCATTTGTGATACAGAGACACAAATTAATGCTATGTCAGAGATACACAAAAATCATAATACTTCCATGGAAAAGAAGCTATCACTGAGCTTTCTAAAAAATGCCTTTTAATTTTCTTCCTCTTTTCCTGCTATCATTCTCAGAAACATATACCATCCGTATGCCTGAAATTCCTTAGAAAACTCTTTTTTTTAATCAAAAAAGAAAAGCTTACCTGAACTTGAAGTAGTTCTTCTTGCCCTCAAAATGGGATAGCTGCCTACTTCTAAAGACTTGGTTAAGTCAAGATCATGCAAAATCAAGAGGTATCCAGAGGATGTTGAGATCAACATTTTGGAACAATCTGGTGTTAATCTCATTCGCATGAGAAAACGTGTATGAAAGAATTTCTTATGTGGACACCCATCTTCTGTACACCTACAGAAAAAAATCAAACCAACAAAACCTAGAGTTATCATAAATATAATGGTTCGGTGACAGTCATATTTTTTTTGCCCTTCAAATAAATTTACACTCAATGTATATTTAGATTTACACACATGCCCTTAACTCTTTTTTTGTTCACTATTCCTGCTTTCATCTCCAGCCTTCCTTTTCAGATCATACTCTTTCTTAAGTATATCCCTCAGAATTTTTTTAAGTAAAACTTTGTTAAGTTCTCTCATTTTTTATTGTTCTGAAAGTCCTTATTTCACACTTTTTTTTTTTGAATAAAGGTTTAGCTGAGCATATAACCTTTAAGTGGACAGTTATTTCTTTCTGAATATTGACACGTTCCCCTGAGTTCTGGCTTCCACTGTCACCATTTATAAGTCTGCTATCAGTCTGTTACTTTGGATAATTTACATTTTTTTCTCCTCTGGCTAATTTTCTCTTTGTCTTTGGAGTACTGCAGTGTCACTCTGATATGCGTAAATCTAATTTCTTTTCATTTATTTTTATTGGGATTCATTTGACTTTCCAAATCTTAAGATTCATATTATTCATATATTCTAGAAAATTCTCAGTTATTACCCCATTATTATCTTTCATCCATTTTCTCTATTCTTTTGGAGCTCCAAATAGATGTCTGAAACATTCACATTTGACTCTCCTTGTCTCATAACTGCTCTTTCAGGTTTTCTATCTCCTCATTTCCATATGTTGTATTCTGGGTTACTTTTCAATATCTATCTCCTAAACTATTTTTTAAGCTATGTCTAACCTACTATTTGACCTGTCCAATGATTTTGAGATTTCCATAGTTGTATTTTTTTAACTTAAGTTCTATGTGGCTCTTTTCCAAATCTGCCTGGTCTTTTTGATAGATTTTTATTCCTTGCCTATTCTTATTGCCCTTTTATTTCCTTTTTTTGTTAATTATTTTTAAAACTGTGAGCCATAGCATACCTACAGTAAAGTATATAAATAAAATGTGCAGAGTTTAAAGAAAAATGAACACCACTCATCACCCATGTTAAGAAGTTGGAAAATACCAGTACTTTATAAGCCCCCTATTTTTCTCCTTTTTTGCACCCTATTTTTGCTTCAAGCATACAATATCATTTCTTATCTCCAAGAGGATAGTAATAGCTTTTTAAAAATATTTTTCCTTCTCCCTGTGTAGTCTCGGTTTATTCCAAAAAAATCTCCCTATTTGTGTCGGTCTCTATATTAGTAGTTTTTCTTAAATGTCTGATTATCTTTGGCTCATAATTAAGAATGGGGAACTAAAATTGACTGGGAACTGTGCATGCAGGGTATGCAGGGCTTGAGTTTCACTATACAGGGTGAAGCCATGTTTTGAGGAGATCCTAATGTCAGTATCTTTGGACCATTAACTGGAAGAAGGCTGAAGATCTCTGAATTCGATATTCACGGTGCAAAAGAATCACTTAATCCCGTTGATTCTGGTAAAGTACCCAAGCGTTCAACTGTGTCTATCATCCTTCAACACAGAGATTCTCTATTTTACCCTCTTTAGAGAATAAAATTTAAAACTTCTGCTAAAATGGCAGGTCAACTGCACAGTGCTGTGCATTAAGGGAGGAAACAGAAGTTCTTAAATACCTTTCACTTGACTCCTTACTTTAGCTACCTCTTCTACAACAGAGTACCCAGGGCTGCCAGTTCCTGTGATTTTTGAGGATTTTGTTTAATTGTCTTAAATTCTTAATACCTCCCTACTGCCAGCTTAGAATTCAACTTTTTTGGACTTATTAGGTCAAGTTTTAAGTTAGTTGCCAAGTCAGCTGCTATTTATCTACCTGCTTTCCAGCTTCTAAAATTCTATTGTCATTGCTTCCTCTCCTGTTTCTCCATCTTTATGAGTTTACACCCTTTATTTTAAAAATTGCTTATTGTAGTTTTGGAGGAGTCTTTTCATCTACAAACATTATTTAGGTCTTACAATGACTTAAATGAAGTTTTACAAGTTTCTCCATAAAGGCTATATACATTTTCTGTTGTAATTTATCCATATGTACCAACTAAATTTTTTTATTACAAAAAAGTATATTCTTTTAAAAATTTAAATTGTTTGCCGTGATATAGAAACACTATTGATTTTTTACATTTTGATCTTATATCTAACAATCTTTATTTTTACTTTTTAATTGACAAATGAAAAGTGTATATATTTAGGTATACAAGACATTTTGAAAACGTATGCATTTTATGGGACTGGCCAGTTAACTCAGTTGGTTAGAGTGTGGTGTTAATAACACTAAGGTCCAGGGTTCAGATCCCTGTATAGACCAGCCACCAAAACAAAAAAGAAAGAAAAAGAGAAATGTATATATTTTGTAATGGCTAATTCAAGCTAATTAATAAAGTCCTCCCTTGGTATCCTTGGTAGATTAGTTCTAGGACCCCTGAGGATATTAAAATCCGTGAATGCCCAAGTCCCTCAGGTAAGATGGTATGGTATTTGCATATAATCTACATACATTCTCCTTACACATTAAATCACCTCTAGATTACTTATAATACTTAATACAATGTAAATGCTATATTGTTATACTGCATTTTTTATTTGTATTGTTTTTTATTGTATTGTTATTTTTTACTGTTTATTTTTTTCTGAGTATTTTCGATCCTTGATTGGTTGAATCATGGATGTGGAACCTGCAGATATGGAGGGCCAACTATATATGCATTACCTCATATACTTATCATTTACTTGTGGTAAGAACATGTAAAATCTTCTCTGTAGCAAACTTCAGGTGTACAATACATTGTTATTAACTATGGCCACCACGTTGTACAATATAAATCTCTTGAACTTATTCCTCCTGTCTAACTGAAATTTTCTATCCTTTGATCAATACTTCCCCAGCCCTATACCCCACCCTCCCCAAACCCATCCGCAGCTCCTGGTAACCACCATTCTACTCTGCTTCTATGAATTTGACTTTTTAAAATTCCACATGAAGTGTTATTTATCTTTCAGTCTGGCTTATTTCACTTAACATAATGTCCTCCAAGATTATCCACACTGTTGCAAATGACAAGATTTCCTTCTTTTTAAAGGTGGAATAGTATTCCGTTGTGTATATGCACTACATTTTAAAAATCCATTTATCCACTGATGGACATTTAGTTTGATTCTGTATCTTGGCTACTATGACATGGAACTGCAGACCTCTTTGCCATACTAATTTCCTTTGGATATACACCTAGTAGGGGAATTGCTGGATTGTATGGTAGATGTATTATTAATTTTTTGAGGAAGCTCCATACTGTTTTCCATAATTTATATCTAACAATCTTGGTTAACTCTAATTCTGATCATTTCTCCAAAGAATTCCCATAATTTTCTACATAGACTAGGAATTGGAAAACTATGGCCCATGGGCAAATCTGGCCCATTGCCTGTTTTTATAAAACTTGTATGAACACAGCCACATTCATTTGTTTATATATTGTTTATGGCTACTCAGAAATCATCTAGTACACAAAGTCTAAAATATTTATTACCTGTTCCTTTTATAGAAATAGTTTACCAACCCCTGATACAATCATATCATCCATGAATAATATTAAGTCTGTTTCCTAATCTATATATATGTGTGTATATCTACGTATATATTTTCTTTCTCTTTTTTTTCCAACTAGGACCCTGCCTCCCTGTTCCCCCATGACACTGATGAACAGTAGTAGTAAGAGTAGGCATGCTGTCCTCCCTGTTTTTTTTTTTTTTTTTTTTTACAGTTGATGGGTGTCCTGAAAATCCTGCCTGATTTTATAGATAAATCTTCTAAAGGCTTATCGTTAAAAATGTGCTATAGATTTTTAGTGTATACTTTTCATGAGTTTCCTCCTATTCCTAGCTAATTAATGGTTTGTTTTTTAAACAATTGTATTGAGGTTAACTTATACACCATAAAATTCATTCAATTTAAGTGTACAGTTAAATGCTCTTTAGGGGAAAGGGAGATGGGGAGAGATTGGACAAGGGGCTTAAAGAATAATTACAATTTGTAACAATACATATGCTAGTAAAATTGATTTGATCAACATATCTCAATGTTGAACCCCCAAAATATGTACAATCAATTTTGATTCAATAAAAAAAATAAATTAAAAAATAAAATAAAATAAAAGAAGAATTGCTGGCACTTTAAATAAATAAATAAATAAATAAATAAATAAATAAATAAAAATAAACTCTCTTTAGTAAATTTACAGAGTTGTGCAATCATCAACACAATCCAGTTTTAGAACATTTTTGTAAACCTAATAGATCCCTCCTGCCCATAAGCAATCACTCCCTGTTCCCTCTCCGAGCTCTAAGCAACCACTAATCTACTTTCTGTCTCTGTAGATTTGTCTATTCTGGACATAACATATAAATAAAACGATACAATAAGCGGTTTTTTCACTTAGCGTAATTTTGAGATTCATCCATGTTCATTTCATTACCAAAGAGTATTCCGTTGTATAGATATACCACATTTTATTTATTTACCACTTGATGGATATTTAGACTGGTTCCACTTGTTGGCTACTATGAATACTACTACTATAAACATTCATGTACATATCTGTTCATTTCTCTTGCATAGCTACTTAGGAGTAGAATTGCTGGGTCACATGGTAACTATATTTAACATTTTACAAAACTGCCAAACTGTTTTCTAAGGTGGCTATACTATTTTACATTCCCACCAGCTATGCGGGTTCCAACAATGAGAATTCCAGTTTCTCCATAGTCTTGCCAATACTTGTTACCGATTAATAATACTGAGTCTTCAAATCCATAAACATGGAATATCTCTCCATTCACTTATAACTTCTGATATTTCTTTCAGTAATGCTTTATAGTTCTTAATGTACAAATCTTATACTTTTGTTAAATTTATTATTTAGTATTTTATTCTTTTTGATGCTATTGTGAATGGAACTATTTTCTTCATTCATTTTTGGATTGTTCATTGATTATAAATAGAAATACAATTGATTTTTGCATATTAATCATGTATATCTTGTGAATTTGCTGAACCTGTTTTATTAGTGCTACTGGGGTTTTTTTGGTGGACTCCTTAAAATCTGGTATACACAAGATCATATCTTTTGCATATGAAGACAGTTTTACTTCTTCCTTTCCAATTAGTTTCTTTATAAGGAGGCGTTTTATTGAAATCTTCACAACAGAGGAATAACTGGCATTTCAGGTGGGACAATAACTGGCATTTTAGATGGGAATGTGTAAACTGTCCTGTGTACTGCAGGATGTTTAGGAATTCTGGTCCCTGCCAACTGTATGCTAGCAGATATTCTCCTTCTCTCTTTCTCCATAGTGACAACCAAAACTGCCACACACATTATTTCCAAATATTCCCTTCAAGATCAGTTCCACTCCAAATAAGAACTATTTTTTTAATGCATAAAAACAAAGTGCAAAAATTACAAAACAAATAAGTTTAGAATTGAAGGACCTAAGAATGAGAAACATTTTAGTCTCACATATGAAATAAAAATGTTTTTCCTTATATTTCTTAAATTCAGAAAATTCATTTTATAAACCAGTTTTCATCATTAACTATACTACTTGGTCTCTTTCCCATATAATTTTCTCCAAAACTTTTAGTTGTAATATATGACTAAATGCAAGTAACAAAAGATAAAATCACTTTTTTTTTTTTTTTTTTTTTAAAGATAACCGGTAAGGGGATCTTAACCCTTGACTTGGTGTTATCAGCACCACACTCTCCCAAGTGAGCCACAGGCCGGCCCTAAAATCACTTTTTGATTGTTTTTCCTAAGGCCAGTTTCTTTCTTAGGGCTAGGACAGAATACTGAATTTGTTCACTGTCTTTAAAAAAAATGTTTTGTTCATAATCCTAACATGGTCTCCTAGTCACAAACCTGTTAGTGTCCCAAATAATGACATTTCCATCAAATCCTGATGTTACTAAGAGTCGTGTATTAGTATCATATTCGATGTTCTTCACCCAGCTAGTGTGACCATGTAAAGTGCATACTTTCGTGTTCAATTTTCTCAGATCCCATAGTGCTATTGTAGTGTCATCAGAGCAGGTAGCGAACAGCCGGTTATCAAGAAATCTACAAAAGCAGAAAAGAAAAACTTGTTCATTTAATTTTTTTAAAGAAAACTTGATTTGAGAAACAGTCTCTATATACAAACTCAACAACACAGTGATTCTGATTCTGATATACAATAAACAGTAAGTATAATTCACATAATCATAGGGTCAGGATACTAGAATTTAATGAGAGCCACAAAAAAATTTGATCCATTTGCTTTAAATTACTGATTTTTATTTGGAACTGGAAATATGGGTAGGTGTTTGGAGAACAGTGGTAGACAAAAAAAAAAAAAAAAAAGAACTTTAGAATTTGTACAGGAAATAAAAATGGTGAGAGAATTCAATAAGAGATTGAGGAAATTTTGAAAACTTGATTGCTGAGGGGGACACATTAAGCATAAAGTGTTCAAAATCATGAGAAATATTTACTCTGCTACAAGTAACATCTCTTTCTATTTAGAATATTTATATACAAAAATTGTTATTCAGTATAAATGATAACTCCCAGATTGCCATCATCTTTAATCTATTTTTTTTTCCTTTTTGTCTTTTTTCGTGACCGGCAACGGATCGCAACCCTCAGTGTCGCGCCCGTACCGGACCGGGACCGGCTACGGGATCGCAACCCTCGGTGTTGCTCCCGCACCTCGCTCAGCCAGTGAGCGGCCGGTCTGTATGTGGGATCCGAACCCTCGGCGGGAGTGCCGCCGCGCTTCCCAAGCGGCGCACTGTAGCAGTGCGCCACCGGGCCGGCCCATCTTTAATCTATTAATTCAAAGGCATTCCCCAGATAATGTCACTTAGCAAAATTTTATTGGGACTAGTCAAGACTATAAGATACAAGATTATAAGACAGACAATTAAAATGCTCTATAATTCAGACTTTTTATTATTTTACACTAATTTCTCAACCCTTAGTGGGGTATATTCTATACAAATACTTAAAACATAATGAACCTACCATTCACATTTGAATGTCTGTCTAATTTACCATTAGGATGCTTTCTCTAACCTATCCTGTGATATATAACTTCCTTATCTCTTGCAGGGGAAATGAATTCTGGAACTTCATCCAAGATAAAATTATATATAATTCTTCTCAGAAATAAGCCTCAATATTCACAAATACCATAATGATCTTCCTGAAAAATATCATGGTTTTAATATCCCAGGCCTTTATATAGGCTATTTTTGCTATCTGAAATCACCTTCCCCTTTTCCTTTGATCTGGCTAACTCCTGCTTTCTTTTTAATATTCAGCTGTCATCCCCTCCTGGAAGATTTCCTTCTCTATCCATCCTGGGGTAAATCTACCAATTCCCTAAGCTCCCTAAGTAGTCTACACTTCCATCATAATACTTAACATTACAGTGTGAGGAATAACTTTACAAGGCTATAAACTCCTTGAAGGCAGAGGGACCCGTATGCCTCATTCATGATTAGATTTGCAGTAACCAACATGCAGTACCAGGCACATATGCACTTGACATATATTTATTAAATGAATGAATGAGAGTTCACTGCCCAGTGGAGAAGACATTATGAACACGAGTACATAATTACACAAAATAATTGTGTGGAATAAGCAAAGGAAAGAGGGTGGTTAGGAAAGACTTCACAGTGGTGTCATTTGAATTGACTTTAAAATATGAGCAGGAATTCTCGAAGTGGCCAAGGGGTAAGCAAAGGTAGAGTGGTCACTGTATAAATGTTATCATAATCTTTCTTCCTTTTTAGACTGATTTGCAATTGTTGCATGTTTACATTGCTTACAATTTTTTTTACTATTAAAAACCACTAAGATGAACATCCTCACAGCAGCCAAATATTAATCACATCCCCATTTATTTCTCTATATACATTCCCAGAAAAATGTGTTGCTAAGTAAAAAGGGATTTTTAAAAATGTAAGGCATTTGAAACATATAGCCAACTTATCTTCCAAAAGAACATACCAACTTATAGTTCCACCAGTAGTTAGGAGAGTGTCCATTTCCCCAAACCCTTGTCACACAGATTTTTTTTTTCAAATTCTGCTAAGTGCTAGAAAAAAATATCATCTTAAGTTTTTTTTTTTAGTAAAGTTGAACTTTTTTCACATTTATTAGAAAATTATATTTCCCTTATGAATTGATGTTCATGTTCCTTAATGATGTTACAATAGAAGTATTATTTTTATTACTGAGTTGCAAAATTGCTCTCTTTTCGGGGGGGGTCAGGGGGGCTGGCCAGTCTGGGGATCTGAACCCTTGACCTTGGTGTTACAGCACCACACTCTAACCAACTGAGACAACCAGCCAGCCCTCAAATTTCTTTATAACAAGGATAATAATATAACTCAGTTTTTCAAATATAGTATTTGCATATATTTTTCCATACATACTTCTACCTTTTAATGTGGTTTATACGTTTTCTTACTATATCAAAATTTTAATTCTTATATTACCAAATCCATTTTCCCCTTATAAATTTACCTTGACTGATGAGGCTTTTTAAAGTAAAACTAGTTCAATGACGTCTACACTTCACAGGAATTATATGAGAAAAATACATATAAAAATATATATTTTTTTCCTTTTTGTCTTTTTTCATGTCCAGCAACAGATCGCAACCCTCAGTGTCGCGCCCGTACCGGACCGGGACCGGCAACGGGATCGCAACCCTCAGTGTTGCGCCCGCACCTCGCTCAGCCAGTGAGCGGGAACCGGTCTGTATGTGGGATCCGAACCCTCGGCGGGAGCGCCGCCACGCTCCCAAGCGGTGCACTGTAGCAGTGCGCCACCGGGCCAGCCCTATAAAAATATTTTTAAAAATACAAAAGACTACTGGAAAGTCAGTCAAACTTTTAAAATAAGTTGAGCATCTCATAAATTTGAAAAATAGGGGAAAAGCCATATACTGAAGATATTTTCTTCAGTCTACAGAAGATATTTAATGCACATATGGATTAAAAACCCCAGTGGGGTTTTACTGCTATAAGCCAGTGGTCCACCTGAAGGGATTTAAGGAATAGAGTGAGATGATTAGAAAGGAGTTTCAGAAAGATCTCTGAGATGACTAGGTTCCCCAACTCTTGGATTTTCATAAAAAATAAAATGGGTGATCAACTTTTTGTTTTTGTTAATCAGATCACTTAAAAAAGTATAATAATTTCATGAAAGGATATTTTAATATAAAAAACATAGAAAGAAGATGATCTTGGAAAAAAAAAACAAGTAATTTTGAATTGAGTAGGTTTACCTTAATGAAAAATTCAATACTTTGACTTTACTTGGATCATTTTTGCCTCAAAGTGTTATCTGTTAAAATTTTTTGTATTGGAGAATCATTGGTAAAGAGAATTCCAGAATATTAAGAATGGAGGATGTGAAGGCGTTCTGGCTGTGACATCTGTCACTTCATTGACTGCCAGGGTTGATTCAGCTGATCTGGCTGGCTAGGTGGCTGTACCCTTCCTCCCTCATGGCTCCATTTGCGTCCCTCCTGAAGCTGTGTGTTCCACTGAAGAGGACGACCTTCCCTGATAGAGAGGACCATTCTTCGGTCAAAAGTACACAAGTAGCTACAATCCCCTGCTAAAATCTCCAAAAAAGCTCTCAACAATGTAGACTAGGAAACCAGTTAAAGAACCTAGGAAATTTTTATCCTAAAATAAGTAGATGCAGAAAATGTAAAGTGTTAGACAAGTCCCTGGAGATGTGGCCTAGTCCTCTCTAACTAAAACTCAGTGTATCCTACTAAGTTAATAATTGTAAAATATTTATAACTCAACAGTCACTAATAAATAGGAGACATTTCACACACACTGGATCTCTGAATCACAGAACTTCTCCAAATGTCCCCATCAAACCCCAACATATGACTATAACACCTCTGGATAAGCTGACTTTTGGATAAATCAAGGTCTTCATTATTAGAGGATAATTGGTAAAGGAAAGAAATTGAGAGTGAAGTCTCTTAAAAGAGTACCAACATTTCACTGTATAAGTGAAAGTGTTGTTGAGTATCTTTAAAAAAATTAAACTGAAAATCATGAAAATAAACTTTTTCCCATTTATTTAACTCTATGCAAATTCATAGAGCAAGAATGGATTAAATGTTGGGTTTTTCCATATCTTTCCAAAAAAATTATGACAGCATAACATGATATCCTCACTTCATATCTGAGTTTTGTACTGCAATAAAAAAGAAGGCCATTTCTGTATAAATAATCAAGGGTTTTATCAATTTTCCCAAGAGCCTTTCCTTACTTAGTCCTGTGAGATATTCACATAGTTCTTTGAAGTGTCTATCACGTCATCATTTCTGTCATTTTCTTTTCTCTAATTGATAACTAGTCTAACTCTATCACCTCTTCATTTGCCAATTATTTTTTCATGTAACTTGATCAGTTTTCTAACATCATTTTCAGGGCTTCAAGAAATTCTACATCCTCTGCAAGATGAGAAATTTCATGTTCTCACTGATTGCAAAATATTTCTTGAAATATAACAATTAGCAAGAGACCAATAAAGACAGTGGGAGGGAGAAATAGATCTGGGATACTTAAATGGATACTAACTTTTGAACTGTCATATCAGTAAGTAAATATTCTTATGATGACCTTGGGGCTTCTCCCTCCAACCTCGTAATTGGGGACGAGGGGGATGTGGATTATTAAATGGACTCTTAAATCCACATACAGAGTCCTCGTGATTGAGAAATACATCTGTATAATAACTATAAGTATTTAAATTATATACTTTTCCCAAAATATGAACAGAAAATATTCTCCACAATTATCAATGTTTTTATTTTACAAGATAAGCAAACCATAAAACTAAGAAATGAACTAGAAGACATTTTCAAGTATGTGCAAAATGACCACCTAGAACCAAACCAGAAAATGAATGTCCACATCTTTAAGCAATAGAGTGAGGTGGTCTAATGAAACTGAGTATGAATTCCATCTCTACCGCTTACTATATATAAGACCTTACTCAAGTCTCTTTATCTGAGTTGCAATTTCTTCATATCT